AGCAAGTTCTTTAGCATTCTGAGGCACAGTATAAATTTCTTGAGATTGAATTGTAGAAGAAAGCTCCTGGATACTGAGTATACTGTTCTCTACCAAGTGTATGTTGAAGATGGTGGAGGTATAAACATGGCCTGAGGGATTTCCTCATCCTTAGTTGAAGCCTTGAGAGAGCTAGTGAATTTTAAGTCAGTCCTCTTGGGTTCATGCACACTCAGTATACCTGCAATTATTTCTACACTTGCAGAAATCACCTCATTTTCTTCTTATTTCATTCCCAATAGGTTAAGTGCAAAGAAATTGACATGTAAAAGTTTTATTCCTTTAAACAAAGTTCCTTTTCAGCTGTCCTTACTTAAAAAAAAAATCCAAAGTCCTCTTAAATGCTTACATATTCCTATGCCAATTCCATTCTATCTTTACAAATCCTTGTGATATTTCCTTTCATTAAAGCAAAGTTCTTCTCATTCTTTCTAGAAAGAAAAGTATATTTATACTTAATTACCTTTTATCATGTATTTCTCTCTTGGTCTTAAGTCTTATTCTTTTCAATTTTATTTTACTGAAACTTTTTTTGTAAATTCAATAACATTACCAGAACAGACATTTCTAAGTTCTACCATGTAGAACTCTAAGCAAATTATTACACGTCACTACTTTTTTATTCATCCCTCCCTTTTACCCCTTTTTCTTTGCTACTTTTCTTTCTTCTCTTCTTTCAAAAAGCAGTTGTGATATACTTCCTAATTGTGAGGAAATCATGCCATGTTCTGTGGATGCAAACAAACAAATGGCACAATCTTCACATTATTATTTCTGTGGGGCTAAAAGTTGGCACGTCATTTATCATGAAAGCTTCTGTGAAATTTAAGAGATGAATGCACATGGTATCTTTCTCCTTGACAATTTCTAAGTTTCTACATTATCCTACATTTAGCTAACTAAGGAGCACTTGAGGTAATGTGGTGACATTTGTAAATTTAGTAAGAATGGTCTTGTGGATGACATTCACAGTGGATTTCAGCAAGTGTAAGAGAGAAGGATGACAATATAAAGGTCTTTCCAGAATTTCCTCTGTGAAGAAAGAATAAGAATGGTATTGGTTTAGATTGAATGGAATTGATCATAAAAACAGGTTGGCATTTGTGCCAATCCTGAACTTCTTAAATCATCAACAAATAATTTAGGCTAGTTTGGTTCCTGCCTCTTCTTCTGTTCTTTTTACTTTAGTTAAAATTTGGAACCCTAAAAGTTCTATCCTGAGTCTTTTCCCTCTTAAACTTCACAAACTTGCTAGTAATTCCACCTGCTCAAAATAATTTAGTTATTACTTTCATTTTACTAATCCCCTTAACATTATTTCCAGCTCAGATTTTTTTCCTTCTTTTGGGTAGGCCAGCATGTCCTACCCAAATTTCAGTTCATGACTTCATTGTTTGAAAAACTGTCACTGACCATTTAGCTCCAGAGTAGGCAAAAATCAATCAATCAATTAATTCCAGTTTATATGTAAAATTTCAAAACACCTTCACTCATGGACCAATACCTATCCATTTTAATAATGTTTTCATTAATGTACTGCTCATTTTTTATTAGTTGCTCAAGACAATACAATGATTTTGCTCATTCTTTAAAGGAGCATCAATCTTAATTTGTTTCCCTAGAATTCATGGGTATGCATTCATTCTGAAGCATAGACCCATATGACATCCTAAATCTTTAGCAGAGTAAAATCCATTAAACTTATTTCTCTCCTCTTTAAAAAGAGAAAATGTCATTCAAAAATATTGTAAAAATGGGGACTGGGGCTGTAGCTCAATGGCAGAGCGCTTGCCTAGCATGTATGAGGTACTGGGTTCAATCCTTAACATGGCATAAAAATAAGCAAATAAAATAAAAATATTGTAAAAATTATTAATAATGATTTATTCTCTGAAGTAGGACATCAGAAATATATTCATTTATTCCACAGTGTTTTATTACATAGAAGAGCATGACTCAACACCAGGACCTTATGTTCCTGAAAAGATTATAGTAATGATGAATTCTACTTCACTGATTAATTTTGCTAAGAGATTCAACATGTTTATGAAATATCATCTTACACTACTATTTATATCTAAAAAAACAAGAAATGTTTACTTCCTTTGTTATCTAATTATCTCCTTTCTCTCTTTCACCTATAATTTATGCAAAGACAAATTTGAGCTAAATGCGCTTTCCTTATTCTTTGTTTTTCCTAACTATCCCCCCCACCTAATTTTGTATTCATTCCTAAATGTATGTTTGTTTTCCTAATTTACATTTTACAATTTTGCATTTTGTTGTAATTCTGCTATTTTTGTTAGTTTTGTGCTCCTTATAGATTGAGTTGTCTCGGAAGCAAACTTTGATGGGGAGATTTGTGGAGAAGATCAATTAAAAACCAAGACTTGTATTAATATCAGATATAAAAAATGGAAAGAAACTTAGGGAGATGAGTTGTTTTGAAGTCTTTGTGGTCTTTGTCACAGAGTTTTATCATTTTTTAGGTCACTGAGGGCAGAGCAAAGTCACAGAAGTAAACTTTATTCTCGAGACTATATAGTTCTTGAATCTGCCTCCAGGGAGAAGGCAGATTGCTATTCTCTCATCTAGACAATATATCCTGACTCTCTGATTCTCAGATTTTGGCAATACTGTCCAGCTTCTTACTCATGTGTGTTTCTGTTCTCACTTTATCAATCTCAGGATCTTAGAATATTTTGTTTTTGCTTTTGTTAATTCTATGTGGGAGAGTATGTTCATTTTCTTAAATCTCCCCAAGTTTTATGGTGTTCTAATTTTGGGGGGTGGTGTCTAGCTGAAAGAGGTTTAGTCGTCAAGGAGACAAAAGAAAATAAAAAATTCTCTTCATATTTTCTAAAGTTATAACTCAGTGATGCTTTGAATACCAAAATATTAATATTTAAAATATATAGACCTTAGTTTCTATTGACACTTGCTCTAAGAACTTGAGGAATTTACCTGTAGATTCAATGCCTATGAAATTCAGGTACAGTTACTCACATTTAAATATAAATAACCTTTTAAAATTGTTGTGAAGGAGTATAAGTTTCATGGCAGAATGCCTAAAGCATAGTAGAAGAAAAAATCAACTACTTTGAATTTAAATGTGGTGTGAAACCCAAATATTTTTATATTAAAAATATATCTGAGCAGCGTACAAAGGTTGAGGAAAGTATGAGTGGTAAAAATTAATAGTCTTTCTGTTTTAGTCTGCTCTAGCAATGGAAATAATATAGAAAAGTCCATTTACAGCTTTTCTTCATTTTTTGTTGTATATTTGTGTGTTTGTAAATAAAATAAGTGTGCCTATAGGGAGAGAGTGTGTGGATATATATATATATATATATATATATATAGATAGATATGTATATATCTATATATATATATAGATAGATAGATAGATATGTCTATATCTATATATATATGTAACTCCGAGAGAATGTCTTAGGCCTTAGAGAAGAGTTTGTAAAAATATGTATTGAAGAAAAATATTCAGTAGATTAGACACAAGGGAATGAAGGAAAGGGAAGAGGATAGAAAAAGGAAAAACAGAGAATGAACCCAAAATATTTTTTCTATGTACTTATATGAATATACCATAATGAATCCACCTTCATGTACATCAATAAGAAGGGGGTCCTAACTAGAATAAGATGTATGCCATGCTTGTACAATTGTATCAAAATGATTTCTACTGTCGTGTATAACTAAAAAGAACCAATAAATGTTTTTTTTTTAAATGTAAATTGTTCTGAAGGAATTGGGTATAGTCTGGAGACAAGCTAATAGAATATAAGTGTTTTAGAATGATACCTGCATAAGTCAGATATATCTCTACCCAAACAGTGTCCAATGGCATTAGGCAATTATAAAATAACTATTATTATGATAAAAAATTACTTTAAACAAGTTTAACCTTTCTGGTGTGATTATATCCTCTTTAAATGCAATTTTCTTTGCAACATTCTAGATAGTATTCTATTGGATTTTATTTTTAGTTTTTCTAAATATTTTTTGTTGTTCCTAGGTATGGAAACCATTTACTTGTTTAATAAACCCTCTGTTAGATACCAGGATGTTCCTTTGATGATTTTGGCCTAACATCCCCAATGAGTAGGAGAAAATAGCTTTTAAATCGTTCATGTGTTCCCATGTGGGTTAATTTAATGTTATTCATTATTTTATATTCAACATTATGTATTCATTCAGTGTATATATTTTATGTTTATGCCATAGAATAAACTAAGATATCCATGAATCAGACAATGTCTCATTTAGACATAATATTTTAATTCAAGAAATATGTCATAGCAAAATAATTATAATATGGTGCTTTCCTGTCTTTGGTCGATGTATTTGTTTCTAGCAGTAGAAGTGGTTTACATTTCAGCAAAAATTCATATTAACTATAACAATATTCAATGACTTTCCACTTCCATTTCCTAGATCTACATAGGAATAGTCAAGTCAGGACATACCACACATCTTGGGAGCTGGTGTGATTGTAAAGGGAAGAATCCATCTGTGCTGCTCAGTTTCCCTTGAATGAAGGACAGTGCAAGGTTAAGGATTCAGGAGCACCACCTTAGGCTGAATGTCATCTGATCTAACTTTTCCCAGTATTTTCATCTGTATTTGCTCCACCCCAAATATTTCCAGTTTAACAGTTTCTCTTTGTGTCCTTAGGATAAGTTGAAATGCATGATGGTAAGATTTCTAGAAATGTTGAAAAAGTAGTTTTCAAAATATTTGACTACCTTCAGTAACTTAGTGTAAATTTTTGACAGATACTATCCTTTTTAAGATTTTGTGGTGTTTTCATAGATTTCTTTTATTTCTGTTCCTCACAGAAAGATATTTTTAAGAAAGAAAACATTTTATTTGGAAATATACAGTATTGCACGCTATTTATCATTTTAACAACATGTACTCATAGAGGAGAAAAGCAAAACCACTCACTCTTGAATTTGTTTGGTCTTCACCCCATAGATGATAGGATTGAGCATAGGGGGCACCACCACATAGAGGTTGGCCACTAGGATGTGGATGTGGCGAGGGATGGTTTTGCCTCCAAAGCGATGGGCAAAAAATGAAAAGAATGCTGGTGTATAGAACATAAGGATGACGCAGATGTGGGAACCACATGTGTTAAGGGCCTTAAATCTGGCAGCCCAGGAAGGGATCTGAAACACTGTGCAAAGTATCATTATGTAGGACATAATGATGAAAACTATATCCATCCCTGTAGAGAGTACGGCCACAGTCAGGCCATATATTATGTTGACATTGATATTGTCACATGCCAATCTGGCAATGCCCATGTGCTCACAGTAGGAATGAGGAATGATGTTTTTCCCACAATATAAAAGTCGGTATACCAGGAAGATGAATGGACAGCAGATGAAAAAGCTCCTGACCATAGCCGCAATGCCAATCTTACCAATGACTGAGGAGGTAAGGACTGTGGTATATCTCAGTGGGTAACAGATGGCCACATAACGATCGAAAGCCATAGCCAGGAGGATAGCAGATTCTGCCACAAAGATGAAGTGTATGAAGAACATCTGGGCCACAGAGCTACCAAAGGATATATCTGTGGAATGGAACCAGAAGATAGCCAGCATTTTGGGAGCTGTGGCTGTGGAGAGAAGGATGTCTGCTAAGGCCAGCATAGAGAGGAAGCGATACATGGGCTCATGGAGACTGCGCTCAGTTATAATCAGGAAGAGCAGGAAGAGGTTCCCTACTACAGCCACAATGTACATGGAACAGATAGGGATGGAGATCCAGGTATGCACATCTTCCAGTCCTGGGATTCCAGTCAGAACATACCACACATCCTGGGGGCTGGTGTGGTTGTAAAGGGAAGAATCCATCTGTGCTGTTCAGTTTCCCTTGAATGAAGGAGAATGCAAGGTTAAGGATTCAGGAGCACCACCTTAGGCTGAATGTCATCTGATCTAACTTTTCCCAGTATTTTCATCTGCATGAAATGACAGTAAGATGGATTGCCTATCATAAAATTCTATTTCTCCTCTAACCTAATTAATTCTTGCATCTCAGAAAATAATTATCATTTAATAACTGCCCAACATGACATAGTATTACACATTCATAAACTTAAGTCTTTATAATGGCCTTTTGAAAACACCTCTGCAATAATCCATAACACAGATACATATGAAAAAGGTGCTCCACATTCTTTCATCCTTTTACCATAGCTCCTACTGGATTCTGTCACATCAGGTAAATCTAAAAGCTTTAATTTTAACCACTATTGTCTACTGCCTTTAAAAATAAAACAAAATATAAAAATATAGAATCAATTTTTTCATATCCCTGAGAAAAATAGATATGAAATGGAGTTTGCTGCTTGTAAAAAAGTAAATTAGGTTGACAACACAGATTTCAAGCAATATAGCATATATGCCCTCTTTTACATTGATTGACCACTGTCTTGATGATAAACATTATGCCAGTCATTGATAACACACAGTGAATTACACTAATCCCTGTCTGCTAATCAATCCATTCCTCAAAACTGAATGAGACATTAAAAATCTAAAAGATTTGCAATACCAAGCTGAGTTGGGTTCTTACATGTAGGTGCCTAGTATGTGATAAAGAAAAAGCATTAAATTCTATTACACTTAGGTCACTGATTAAAAATTAGACAATGTTCTTTATATGACTAAGTGCACCATCGCAGCAAATAATTCAGTATTTTCACATTAGAAAGCAAATGCAGTCCTTAAACAAAAGAAGGAAGAAAATTGGCTGATTATTAGCTCCAAATAAATGTAGAAGACAGAAAGAAAAATGTTTGGTATAAAGGCAGGGTAGCAGATACAACAGTAGGGCAGGATATACATGTGTGTGTGTGCATGCATGTATATGTGTTTGTTTATATATATAATCATAGGTATAAACATAGACATAATATGTGATTGATAGGTATCTCCATTCTTTCCTAGTTCGTTTGTAAGACAAAACTTAGCTAAAGTTCTTTTTCTCCAAAGTGGTACATGAACTTAAGAAATAATTGGGAAATACTAATGAAAACTACACTAAGATTTTATCTCACCCCACTCAGAGTGACAATTATCAAGAACATGAATAGCAATAAATGGTGGAAAGGAAGTAGGGGGAAAGGTACATTCTCACATTGTTGGTGGGACTGTAGATTAATACAACCACTCTGGAAAGCAGTATGGAGATTTCTGAAAACATACAAACAAACAAAAAAATAAACTAAGAATGGAACCACCATATAACCCAATTATACCACTCATTGATGTCTATTCCAAAGATCAAAAATCAGCATACTATAGCAAAAAAGCTACCTCAATGTTTATAGCAGCACAATTCACAGTAGCCAAATTAAACAATCAAGGTTCCCATCAATAAATGAATGGATTGAGAAAATGTAGTATACACAATGGAGTTTTACTTAATCATAAAGAAAAATGAAATAAAGGGATTTGCTGGTAAACAGATAAAAATGGGGGAAAAATCATGCTATGTGTAATAAGCCAGGCTCAGAAGATCAAGGGTTGAACTTTTTTGTCATGTGTGGAAGTTAGAGCAAAATAAGGAAAATAAGGTGGTTGGAGAGGGGGTAGTATATCATAAAGATATAAAGGCTATCAGTGGAGTACATGAAGGAGAATGGGAGGGATGGAGGAAGGAAAGGAAAGGAAAAGAAATATGGAATGTATTCATAAAATCATGTTAGATTCATTTTTAAAGGCACCAAAAGGAATTTCACTTTTATGTACATGTAAAAAATACCAATCAAAGTAAAGTAGTACAAGGAAAATTGGTAGAGAAGGGACAATAGAGAGAGCAAAGGAGGGTGGGAGGGAAGAAAAGTCGGGGGAAAGGAGATAGAAATCAAATTCTTTGCTTGTATGATTTTGTCAAAATGAAACTAAAAATATTTATAATTATAATGCTCTAATAAAAAAAACAGAAATGATTGCCTCTGCATACCTTGATTTCGCTGCAGTTCAATATACTAACCATGTATAGTATAGTTTTGCTATCTTTAATTTTTTTTCTATTGTGTTAAATGTCCTCAGCTTTCTTTTCACATGATTTGAAATATTTGGACCCTGGACCCAGGGGTGCTTAAACACTGAGCCACATCCCCAGCTCATTTTTTATTTTACTTTTTTAAATTTTGAGACAAGTCTCATAAGTTGCTTAGGGCCCTGCTAAGTTGTTGAGGCTGGGCTTGCCTGGTACTCTTACCTCAGCCTCCTACGCAGCTGGGATTACAGGCTTGTGCCATGTTGCTTGGCTCCCCCTCTTTTTATTACATTTAAAAATATAATGCCCACTTGATCAGCCAGTTTGATTTTGCCTTAAGTTGGCATGAAGTTCATTAAAAATATTAGAATAAAAAGTTAAGATATTTATGTCTATGCATCTACTTTATGTACATAAGCCAAATATTTTCCCTTTAATCAATAGTCAATATTCTTCAACTTTTTAAAGTGGGATTCTGATGGTTCAGAGAGAGGAGAGAAGATTGATTCTGAAGTATGCCTGACAGAGATCCATTGCAGAGCCTTGGGAGTGACGAGGATCCTGAGGGCTGGGTTACAGTGAGTGGGGCTTCTTAAGGGCATTAGCGATGGGCAGGGAATAGTCTGAGTGAAAGGAAGAAATGTAAATGGAGGTGCAAGTGAAGAAAGCAAATTATGCTGGTGTTCTTCTTTGCCAGTGATCTTTTACTAAAAGGCGAAAGATTTATACGATCTGAAGAGAAACCAGAGTATTAGCCAGTGATCTTTTAGAACACCAAGAACACTTTGGTTTTGATTTGTTTCCACTGCAACATTATCACCGGTGATTGTTCTGATTATAAGCCTTGTAGCATTCCCATCATTCTATAATGGGACTTATGGCATATTCTGACCCATTTAGGAAAAGCGGAAGAATTGACTTTTAGTGCTTGCTTCATCATATTCTGACTGGAGGACACAGAAACAGTCACTTTTCTCTTGCTTATAAAATACCTTAAGGGCTGGGCACCGAGAGGCGCTTGCCTATAATCCCAGCAGCTCAGGAGGATGAGGCAGGAGGATTGAGAGTTCAAAGCCAGCCTCAGCAATGGCAGGGCACTAAGCAATTTAGTGAGACCCTGTCTCTAAATAAAATACAAAATAGGATGTGGCTTAGTGGTTGAGTGCCCCTGAATTCAATGCCCAGTACCTCACCACCACCACCAAAAAATAAATAAATAAATACATTAGCCTAAAATTCCTTAAAACACTATCAATTTAAAGTGTGAATCAGTTCTGAATAAGTGTTTTAGAATGATAGCTGTATAAGTCAGATATATCTCTATCCAAACAGTGTCCAAAGGCATTAGGCAATTGTAAAATAACCATTATTATGTTAAAAATGTTACTTTAAACAAGTTTAACCTTTCTGGACCTCTGGTTTATGGGCTACCAAATTGAGACAAAAGGCACCTAGGGTTTCTTTAAAGACCAAGATGTATTTTCTTATACTGGGCACAATATATCAATTAAAATCTTCACTCCAAATCTGTCATTTATTTTTAGAAGGCACAAATAAATAGAATAGTGATGGACACATGTTATTCTTGCCCCATCCCTAATGTAACACATATATTACATGAGGAATAGAGTTTAAATATCTGATATTCAGACTCTCAATCTGTGCCTAACCCAGAATCTGATGAATAATAAGTACCAATAAAATTTTTGGAAAAAAAGATATGCACTTATGTCTGTATTTACATACACATATTATTTTTAACTACTCCACTTGTTTAACCACTAAGCTTGTTTTTAACTACAAGAAGTTCATTGAATCTATGCAGAACATTCAGATCCACACTCAAAGAACAAAATAACCATTGCACAAACACATTCTAAAAGGAAAAAAAAATATTTATCTCGGATGACCCATTCAATAAAAGAACATTAAAAGATACCACAATTGCAGATCAAATTCAGTTAGAGTTAAGAATAGTACCATATGTGTCAAGACTGAGGAGTATGTGAGATTATTAAGTTGTTGAAAAAATAAGCATCTTCTGCAGTAATCTAACTTTTTCCTCATTGTCATTTTCTATATACCTTTACTGAGTATAACTCAGTTTGCTTACTTGGATTTTCTAGAATCCAGAAGATATTTAACAGTTTGAGAGGAGGAAAAAATGAAAAACAAGGAGATGCCCAGAGCACAGAAAGCATAACTGGAACTATTTATACCTCCCTTTAGGAATCTCTTGGATCCAAGATTTTCAGCCCCAGAGGATTGAATTTTTGCTTTTCCCAAGAAAGAAGGCCCAGTGCTGGTCCTGGTACATTGTCCACAGGGAGAAGCATCCCTGCTTTCTCTCCTTCTATAATTTTTGCAACTTTTTCTCTAGCTAGCATTCTCAGACACCAAAGTTAACACATAAGTTGCATATCCAGGTTTTTCGTTTGTTTGTTTTTGCATGTCAAAGTCTTGTGCTAGTAATGCCATATTCTGTTCCCTTGTCAGCATCTGTCAACACAGGTTGTAAGTGCCAAGTATAAGAGAAGGACTCTGTGCTTCTTAGAAGGCACCCAAAAGAGAATTCCCTCATTTTATTGAAGGCTCCTTGGCTCCTGCTCTCTTCTGTTGGTCACATGGTAATATTGGTCAGTATTAGAAGCATCAGAAGGATCTAGAAGTACTATCAGCTGCTATAGACATTTCTTTCAGTCTTTGAACAACACTTTACCGAGGAATATAGATGCAGAAAAAAGACATAAATACAAATTTCATGATATTCATGGGATTCAAAATGAACTCCTGCAGTAGATGTTTTCTCATTAACTCACCAATAAGTAAAATTTTTCAAATATTT